TCATGCAATCAATCTTAGGAACTCACCTCTTTGTCTATTTCAACAAGGATTTTATTGTTGTGGCTCCTGTTGGTAGGCTTCTTTAGAAATTGAACTACTTAAACTACTGTTTAACTTTTGGTTTTCCCCCTTACAATCAGGTGGCTTAAATGTTAATAATTTTAATGCTTAACATATAGTGTATAACAGGAAAATAACGGTGGATCTTATTATTTGCAGTTTCACATATCTGTGGTTGATAAATATAAATCCAAATTCATTACCTCCCATAAATGATTTCACATATCTGTAGGTTTGGGGGCACAGTTCTGATGTGTCCACCATATGAGGCCAGCCTCCATCCCCACAATTTTCCAGAGATCGCAGCAATCTGTAGCATTCAGACTTTGTACGCTCCCCCTCTTCCTGCATGTGACTTCCTGACAGTGAAAATGAAAAGTGCACAGTGGTGAGCCCTGCTGGGGGAAGTGGCAAATGTCCACACTATGTGTGGCCTTGGAGGAGAAGGCGAAGTTCTCTATATCTGCAGCTGGGGAATGCCTTCGTGGACCTTGACACAGCACAGCACAACATCAAGTTCGACAGACAGCTGGAGTTGCTTTGCAACCCTGTAAGGACACCTAGCAGGCTCTACAAACCAAGATCAGACAAAGCTCCATCATCAGCTACTTTGCAAACTTAGCCACACAGCTGTGGAGTATTGACACCAATATTTTCCATGGCTTTGAGAAGGAGGAACAAATTGAATGACCCACTGCTTCCTTATTTTGATTCTGTAGTCTTCATTCCTTATAAACTAATCTTATTTCTGCTTTTTCCTTGTAGCAATGGTGATTTTGAAGTCATTTTTCAGGGCTCTGAACCTCCCCCTTCCCCATTTCCATAGACTAAAGATCTCATTATCTGCAGTTCTGTTATCCATGGTTGTACACTGGGTCGTTACCCCGCAACAAGGAGGCCCACCTGTATTTGTAATAGGCCTTGTTTAACACATAAGAGACTTTCTTTTGTGCATCCACTAAGAAGTGATGTGGTCTTCACTGTATGTAAAAATCAGGAGGGTTTTATTCTTCTGCTGGGACGTTAAAAGACCAGCTAGCTAAACATTGCATGAAAGCAAGAGGGAGAATGCAAGCAAACAGCTGGATACTGGGAGGGGGGGGGCAGGAGATTAGGAAATTGGATTATTATGGTCTTGCTTCATCTCCTCAAAAGAGAAGAAAATATCCAGCCCAGCGTGTTCTTTTTTCCCTTCCCGAACATGGAATGACACATCTGAGTCTCCATAGAAAGCAGGGTAGTGCTCAGGATCTTTTGCATATATATCAGGGCGGATGGTGGATCCACATCACCTTCAGAGGTTTGTCCTCTGCAAAGACAAATAACCTACCTATTGAATCAACTTTGCATCAGCAGGGCTTGAAATTTAAATGTCAAGATAAAATAGGATGTTTCCATTCACGAGTTTTAAAACAGTAATCACAGCCAACTTTCTGGACACTTTCACACGAGGTTCATATGCCAGTTTGATGGCAGCTCCCGATTATCGTGTTGTCCTCAGGGCTGGCGAGTGGCTCTGATGTTTTTCCCAGCTCTGCCGCAGTGCAGTTGAACTCACTGCAACTTTTCTCTGTTGGAGAGAATGTTTTACTCACTCTCTTCCTCCTGAATAGTGAACTTTAAGAAAAAATGCTAACTTTACAGCTTTGCACCTCCCGCTCAGGAGCCCAGAGGAAAGGAGCCGGCAGGAAATTGATGACAGTGTTGCTAATTTTGTCCTTCAGTTTCCACAAACCAGGTTGCAAAACATCAATCTACTGAGGTGGTTTCTTCTTGTGTGTGTGAGTGGAGTGGGATCTTCTTGCGGTCCACTGTGATTGCTTTCAAACCGCTTCAGTGGACCGGGGAGTGGAATTGATGGAACGCAGGGCCATCCAAGAGGATGTCAAAAAAAGTCAAGATGGTACCCACATGCTCAAACCCTGCTCTTTTTTTTTTTAAATCAGTGATGCATATAAAAAAGGTGTGGGGTATGATTGTGTTGACACCGTCTTGACTTTTTTGACACCTTCCCCACCTGCAGATACCTCTGTTGGAAGGGTAATGCTCTCTCTCTTTTTGCAATCAGACTTTATAGGTTTCAAAAAAGCCACAATGATCTTCTAAACACACCTTTCTTTCTGGGAAAGGGTGATTGTAAGTCTTCTTTTCTTGTGTACCACATGACTAGACCTTGTTGCAAAATGTTGAAAAACTAGTTTAAGATGGACCCAGTGCCAAACACTGTAAATTTCCTTATTCTCTCGGCTTTGTGTACTAGCTACAAGGACATGGCAGAGGAACAAGGAAGTTTGCTTTCCTTGGGAGGTGAATTAAAAAAAAAAGCAATCTGACTCCACTGAAATAAGAACGTCTTTAGAAACACTCCCATTTCTTTTTGCGATCTTAGCTGCAAAAGGACGAGCAGGAAGCTTAAAACAGACCAAGAGATGTAAGTTCAGGAGCCTGTGAACAACATTTTACATGTTCCAGGCTATAGCTTTCATTGGTCTTTTAACCTTAGAGAAAATATGCTGACATTCTCACATCCACATCCATATAATGTGAAAAACACAAACCAGGATCTGCCCAACAGTGAAAGTAGTTTTGTAAAATCCAGGACTTATTTTTTCCTCAAACAATAGCTAAACCAGATTCACACTTGAGACTAAGCCATAATAGGGTTTCATTTAGCTTTCATTCAGTACAGTACAGTGTGTGAGCCCAACCAGGGTTTGCAAGTCATACTTCATGTCTTAATGTTATGATGATTTATTTAACAAGCCACTATTAAAATAAATATGGCTTAGCACAAGGGTAGAGCAACCTGTGGTGATCAGGTGCCATATTTACCAGGATGGTGAAAGGCTGTGGCGAGTAGGATCACGATGCACGGGAGGTAGGAAAAGCTGGGATTATCCATTTTTATGTGGGCCAAGGTGGGTGGGTGGGTGGCTGGGGCACAGACTATCATTGTGTCAAATCTACTTTAAGCCTTATCCTACAATTTTCATGAGTTTCGTGCCTCAAAAAAGGCAAGGGGCTCTAAACACCAAACAATAGATGGGTAGGTCATCGAGTGAGGCTTAGCATGCTACCCGAACCCAGCCCCCAAAATGAGGCTGCTAGTGGCAGATGTATCAAAGTCCCCAGGCCTCTCCCCCAACCCACGATGCAGTTTATCCAGTCTGTAATTAGCCATGATTATAAAACTGCCTTCTTATTTTTGTGGTCTGAGGAAATGCAGTTGGGCACCCACCCAAGTCATTTCCAAAAAGGACTGTATTGCAAAGAACGCTGTGATGTGGCAAGGATCACCAAACACCTCTAGGCAAGGTCTGCGTATGTGGCCGCCTAAAAGCCTCCACGAGTTAACAGAGGGGAATCATATTTTTTTAAAAAATGAACGTATCTCCCACTGCTGAGACCATTCTTTCCTCTGAAGAGAAAAACCCGAGTGGTTTCCCAGGCTTATGTTGAAACAATAAGGTTGCAGCTTCCAATACTGCCCAGACAGGAACAATCGGTGACCATCCTGTCTTTTTAGGAGACAGGAGAAAATCGGTAGTGATAAAGACCCTTGCTTATAAGGAAAGTTGCCTTCTCAAGAGCAGCAAGGGTCCATTTCAGAGGATTTTCTTTATACCTTGAGGATGAATTGAAAGTTGGCACACATGGAGAAAATCCAATACTTAATATAGAAAAATAATTTCATCTGGGTTTTATGAATTGCTTTGGGCATGTCTCTGCTTCTGCATCAGTGAAGCCCCCGAGCTATCCCTCTAAACCAGGGTTTCTCCAGCATGCTGGCTGGGGAATTCTGGGAGTTGAAGTCCACACGTCTTAAAGTTCCCAAGGTTGAGAAACCCTGCTTTAGAAAAATAATTTCATCTGGGTTTTATGAATTGCTTTGGGCATGTCTCTGCTTCTGCATCAGTGAAGCCCCCGAGCTATCCCTCTAAACCAGGGTTTCTCCAGCATGCTGGCTGGGGAATTCTGGGAGTTGAAGTCCACACGTCTTAAAGTTCCCAAGGTTGAGAAACCCTGCTTTAAACTATTTAACAGCATACAACGCTGCATTTGTAAGAAATGTGATATTAGCCTATTTTTTGAGGGATCTGGTGTAACTTTCCATTGAACTCTCAAATAGGGCCAAGAGCTTTCCTTTAGGCCAGGGTTCCCAACAGCAGCAACTTTAAGATGGATGGACTTTGACTGGCTGGGGAATTCTGGGAGTTGAAGTCCATCCATCTCAAAGTTGCTATGGTTGGGAAACACTGCTTTGGACCAACAGCGCCCTGTTTGCATGGGGCCATAAGAGAAACCCTTGAAATTACTAGCAGCAATATGCAACCATCTGAACCGAAGGGTAAAATGTGATTTGGAGCATGAATGAGTATGCACCTTGGCACCCACTGGGATCATCATAGAGCAACAGCACCTTTTCCTGGGCTTGCACAGCTGCCTTCCGCAATCCTAGGCAAAGACTTATTTATGGCGTTTCCAACAGTTGCCTCACACGTGCTTCAAATCACGTCTTGCTCTTGGAATCCCAAAAGTTATATAGTCTTTAAGACAGTTGGCTCCAACTCGGAGGTGCATTCCATTGCCGGTCCTAGTTGCCCTGCTACCTTGGCATTTGAAGAGCGGAGGCCCCCATATTTGGAAAGGGCCAGGTTGGACAGTCCAACATGAGATGCAACTTTGTGTGCCTCTGTTGCTCTTCACAAACTGCATCTGAAGACATGGAGGGCCAGCAGATAGATTCACAACACCAGGACACAGGTGAACAGGCCAGATGTGTATGGAAGCAGAAGCAAGCAGAGGAGTAGGTGCCCAAATCTCTGTTTCTGGCCTGAAGTGTGAGCAGAACACCTGGAACCCTTTTAATTAACTTGAACAGTGGTAAAATGCATGTCTAGAATGGAGGACAAGGGCCTGTTTTTTAAGGAATGTTTTATTGACTACATCCTAAGAAAGTACTTTTAAATGAAACCGCAACAGCACATACAAAAGAACAGAAATACAGTAAAATACCAACTCTAATACCTTAGAAAATAAGGAGATTTTATATCTATATATCTTTAGATATATAGATATATAAACATTTCTCTCGTTTGTTCTTAATCTAAGAAAAAGAAAAGTTCACATTTCAAGTCATAACCTGTCTCAGTAGTGTATCAATGAAATGGTTCAGAAACTGTTGTAAAGTCAGACCTCAGACTGGGCCGGTCCACGATTGAGCGGCCAGTGTCCGAACTGGTACCTGGGCCACGATTCTGAGTTCCTACGGGGAAGTGCATTTTTAAAAACGATGCCCGGCGTTCGTTTGGGATCCAGCATTTCTTGCAGGTTGGATGCATGTCTATATAAAATGCAGCGAAAGCTTCCTTGGGTGGTTGTTTTAAGGGTACCTGGGTAATTGGCACATCCTCCTTCCTTTGAGTTAGTTAAAAAAACCCTGCTCCCTCCCTCCCTCCCTCCCTCCCTCTCTCTTTTTGCAAGCCAGAGATTACAAATAAAGCCAGGGTAGAACTTTGTCTTCAGCGCCTTATTTCTCAGTTAAATCAGGGCCCACGGCGCTCGGATTCAAGGGGCTGGGAGGTTTTTCCTATCAAAAGATCCCCCTTCCCAGCCCCCGGCCACCTCCCATACATTCAGCGGCAGGAAGAAAAGTCGTGACCTTGACAGTAGTGTTCTGGGTGAAGGCCAGGCACTTGCGGTATGCAGAAACCCTGAAATATTTGAGCTCACAGGGAACTAGAGCCCAGACCTTAACAGCAAGTTGGCCTTACGATCCAACTGGTGGGTCGTTCGGACTCCCAGCTTAGAGCGCACTAGCTCTGTTGGGGGAAAAAAATCAGTAGTACCAGCAGCCCTTTGAGGTAGGGTGCAGCAGTAATTCAAGCCACGGGAGATATTTCCTAGGGCCACCTTTTAAAAAACCATGACTGCCATTTCTCTCTTTCACAGAATACTTTACAGTTTTTGTTTACGGTGGGAAGACGCTTCTTGAAAACATTGATATTCTGTGTTAGGGTTTCAGTTCAGTCAAGATTTGCTGGCAAAGATTATCCTTAAAAGCATATGAACTTGTCACCTTAAATATACGCCACGTGGCATATCCAAGCTTCGCCACAGAGGTTAATGCACACTCGAGTTGGGATCCCGGGGAATTGCACTTAAGCAGTTGGGCACACCATGACTCGCATTTCCACACTTGCTTTTGCCCGAGCCTCTATGTTGCAACAAGCTTTGAGGTTTGGGGGCCACGCTTCTTTGGGACCATTGGGGAGGAGGTTTTGTTGAAGGTCCAGTGTATGCCCAGAGTCTCCTTCCACAGCCCTTTCGATTCCCCCACCTTTGGCGCATTATTGCACACCCCATTTCAAAAAAGGCTTTAGGGAATATCAGGCATCTCACAGGAGGGGGATTAAACCACATTACAAGGTGCGCAAAAATGGGGTGGGCTTGGATCACCTGGGCACAGGCACCATCTTGATTGTTTTGACCCACACCTGGATGCCCCTGAAAAAAAAAGGAAAGAAAGCAGCATACAGGTATGCAGAAATACCTAGGCGAAAGCGTCCTCTGCATCTGCAGAATAGTTGGGAAATGGCAGAAGAAATGAGAGGGGAATAGATCAAAACTGGGTCAAACAAACCACAATTACTCTGGCTGTCTGCAAGACTGACCCTAGCTTGCTCGAAACGCCTGGAATCCATGTGAGCACAGCCATTGTGATGTGTCTATTTTAATGTCTATTTGATCTGGAAATATGGACTTCAAATAAATATAAATTTAGGAGCCTCTGACTGCCAGTAAAGATTTCTATTTTTCAGGAAGAAAACAGCCCTTTCATTCTTACATTAGCTTTTAAGCAATAAAGGAAGTTAAGAGACAGAAGATCTAGAGAATCTGGATAAAACAACTGCTATTTGCATATGGACAAAAGATTACAGGACTTTTTTGATTCAACCAAGATAGTCATGGAGTGGCTAAATAGCCCATGATTCTATGCTTGAATAAATAATGCCCCAGTTTCAGGATAGGACAGGGCTGTAGACCAAATCTGGCTATTTGTCCACGTTTCCAATATTGTCTACTTTTTAACAAAGTCAGCACTCTGAAAAATGAAGCCTGCAGCTAGGGCTTGGGGTAATTAAAGCCCTCTCTATGTTCACATATTGTGGGGTTTTTTTCTTCTTCCATCCTAGGAATATCAACTTTTGTAATAAATGAAGGAAAATAATATTTTTCCTACTACACCAATGACTTATACACCAAGTGTGAAAATCAAAAAAATGAATAAGACTCTCTGGAGAACGCAAAACAAAAATTCTCCTTAACTTTAAGGGTAGTTTTAACGGGGCTGGTACTTAATGAGAGGTCTCTACAACAAAACTCGTGGCTCTAGATTGCAAAGAAATCTCACCAATTGCAGAAGATAATGCAGAGGTCTCAGTAACTTTCAAATTGCACTTTCCAGTTTAACTTCTTAAATAAAACACACATTTGTATGTATATCTATCTATCTATATATATCTTTTAAAAAATCTTTTGCATGTATTCTTTAAATATTGAATATATTCTTCAAAATATATTGTTTAAAAACTTTTCCCTACCTGCTCAGGTGCACTTTTTAATATTTAGTTGATATATTATTAAAGGCACTACAAAATAGACATCTCTGGAGTGCAGGACTTACTAAAAATAACCTTCATACCACAAATACGGTGAAAAGAAAATGGCTAAAAAAAAACAAAAACAAAAAACTACAACGGTATATAAACCTGTATGAAAACGCGGCCTTCAAAAACCAGCCACGTTAGAAACGTAGGAATACAGGCATGTTACTTTTTTTAAAAAAGCCTAAAAAGTTAGTAAAAACTTCGTCTGTATAAAAGATTTCAAACATGATGCTATATTTGTTATAAACTTCACTTCCAGGTTTTATCCTCAGTTTACTGATATCCAAGCATGTAATTCTACAGTGGGTTTTTCTTCATAAATAGTAAAATGTTCCTTCAGCTTTGCCCTGCCGTGCCTCTGGCCAGCAGCCTCAGTAGGTTTGGTAGACGTCATGGATTGGGACCTGGATCGCGGCAGCCGGAAACGCTTGGGGGATATACCCCGCGTACCCCCCGTAAGCTGCAGCTGCCGCTGCGGCCGCCGCGGCGTTCTTCTGTAGTGTGGCAATAGTTGTCGCGGCCGCTGGGGCAGCAAATGGCACGTAACCTGCGCCGTAGATTCCCGCGGCTGGAATTCTCTGCACGCTGGGCGCCATGGCGTACACGGGAGTTATCGGACGGCCCTGCCGAAAACAGCGTTCAAAAGTTAACCCTGCCACACTCTGTAAGGGACCAGACCTCATGGAAGGGTGTCTGCGGGGGTCAAAAAGGTCAAGATGGTGGCCACCACAAAAGGGCGGGGACACCATCTCGACTTCATCTGACGCACGCACGCACTCCGCAGACAACCGTTTCGTATGCTTATGAATCACATATTGGGAATCAGGCCAGTGCCTGTTTTGGGAGGGACTGTAGATTCATTCATTCATGTTCTAGATTTCCTGCCTTTTGTATAGGAGTTCAAGGGGGTGCACAGAGGGCTCCCTCCTTCCACTTTTCCCCACAACCACCACTGTACGAGGTAGGATGAGCAGAGAGGCGGCAACTGGCCCAAAGTCACCCAGGAATCCTCCTTGGCTGGCATCTAGGTCTGTGCAGTGCCAACCCAGCCCCTTTGCCACTAACCCACGTAGGTTCTCTACTTAGTGGCTGTGCATACTTGAGATTGGCAGTGCCCCACTATGTCCAAGTGATACGGAGGGGTATCGAATCCTCTCTGCTGAAATTACCTTTTCTTCTGAGACCATCAAAACTGCGTTAGACTGAGCCGTTGCACTGAGGCTATTCTTAACAACAGGCTCTCGGGTACAAGGGAATTTGCAGGAACAGGCCAAAAAAAGGAACAAGTTGTGCAACGGCCTTTTGTGACGGACGTGAGGCGTTGCTGAGCCTAGGCTGCTTGCAAACGTTGGGCCCTGGCAAAGCCAAACGAAGCACCCAGCGTACTGGGCGTAATGGTTCTCAAAAGATCCCAGCGGGCTAGCAAAATGATTACATCTTGGTGAAAGATACACTAGTTGGTTTGCTTTATCATCCATAATACACTCTGGATATGACTAGTTCAAGGAATAAAAATATGTACCAAACTGGAGAGATAAAATGCTGAATGCTAATTATTTCAGGGCAGAAATGGGACCGAGAGCTGAGGAAGGCGTCCCTCAAGTCGAGCTTGACTCCTTGGGAACAATATGGAAGTGGTTTTCCAGCCTTCACCCCTCAGCTCTCCTAGTGGTCTCCCATCTTTCCGACTGCAATTGGGACCGGCAACTCTGTTGCTAAGTGACTTGGTTGTAAAGTGAAACATTATGTGACCGTGCCCGACTTATGCCAGTTCCAGCTGCGGTGTTAAGTGTGACTGTGACTTGTGTCTTCCTGCTGCCTTCCACATTGACTTTGCTTGTCAGAAGCTGGCTGTGAAGGTCACAAATGGCAACCATGTGACTGCGGGATGCTGCGATCATCATAAATGCGTGCCGGTTGCCAAGCACCTGAATCACGATCACGTGACCATGGGGATGCTGCGACGGCCACAACTTCAAGGACTGGTTGTAAATCTCCTTTTTCAGTGCCGTCATAACTTTGAATGGTCACTGAACAAGCAATCGGTAAATGAGGACTACTTGTATGCCAATAACATCCAATTGCAGGAGACCAAGCTGGGTCTGAGACAGGGTGCATTATGTTAGCCCTACCAGTGTTCTTTTCTGATGGAAACAGGAGGGATGTCTGTAGGGAGGGGGTCAAAAAAGTCAGCATGGCAGCCAGAACAATGCATGTAAAAAAGGCTTTGACCACATGGTTGTGGCCGCCATCCTGACCTTTTTGACCCCCTCCCCATGGACATACCTGGAACACAGCAAGAGTCGTGAAAAGCAGCAGGGTCACGGTGACACATAAATGGCAGCCTGCACATAGCAACATGATGCAAATCTTGCCCTTATATACGTGAGTTCCAATGCCTGATGCAGGCTTGCAAATCACATTATTTGCATCACGACATCACAGCTCACAGATCATCCCTTGCATCCCCTCCTGCGTAGCTGCAAGCTTTAGCTTCTCCTTCCTGCTAGAGGCCCTGTTTCTCTCAGTGAAAGCCTTAAAATGGAAGCAAAATTACATTGTGCAGGTATTCAAAAAATAGCATTTTTCTCCTGCGTTGTAGAAACAAGTAAATTGACTGGGAGGGATGGAAGCAAATCTCTTTCAGAGCCAAGACCAGACGGAATGCTGATAAGCTCACATCCCATAATAAATCAGCACTATTCACCCTGCTCCCATTACCTCTTGGTCCCTTAATTCTCGCAAGTGCCCGTGCCTGAATGCAGCATAATATTCAATGCAAAATAAATATCATAACTGCATTTTAGACAAAACTAGAAAAACTTTTTTCAAAAAACCTCAAGGAGTCATGATGGAGGGACGGAATATTGCAAGATTCTGGCACACCAGGGGATTTCCAGAAAAGGAAGGGCCTCATTTTGACATCAAGCAAAGTTTTACATGTTTCGCGCCAGCAAGAAGCATCCAGGATGTTCAACAATGGTTAGTGCTAACTGCACCGAGTTTCAAAGGAGACGGCTTCAAAGCACGGTTTCTGAATCTGGGTTGTTTCAAAGCACCATCGTTAAGGTGACCACAATTTTGAGTTTGGACAAGATTAGAAGCTGCAGTTAACTAAACATTCAAGTTTCCAAACACAACCCCTCCGTCCTGTAGTTCCAACGCGAGTTCAAAAGGGCAGAACTTCCCTCGTGAAGTCAAGGCACGTTTCGTTGTTCTGATGGCGGAGTAACTGGCAGCAGACGCCCGACCGCTACGTAATGCTATTTCCTTCCCAAAGGCAGAAAATGAATTGTGACCTGATGCAACTTGGAATGCTCAAAATGGCTTTAAAGGCAATCCCACCTAGTCTGCCAGGAAAGCAGTGTCTGTTTAACTCGTCTACCATTACCCGTTCCCTGCAAGCAAAGAGGGCTTCTTCCCTTAATGCGAGCAGGGACCTGCTAAAGGGACCTTAATGCGGTACTTGAAGGGGTCGGTATTTCTACACCTTAGGAAAACCTCTTGAGAACCTTTAGATTAAAGAGCATACCTGAAAAGGAGGTGGGGTGGAAACCGCAGGTATTACTGCAGCCGCCGCCGCCGCCGCCGCCACACTTGCCGGATCCTGCTGGACAGCGATGGGGCTGATGATGTGCTCAACCGTGTGGATCTTCCCGTCGTCAATCACCTTTGCTGCTGGCGTGGCTTGAAACATGGAATACTGGGTTCCAATGGTTGGAATTGCCACTACGACAGACCAGAGCAGTTCACGATCAGGCGAGCCTTGACAGTAAAACGGTAGCTTTTAAGCGAGCAAAAGTGTCGCTTGAGTTGTCCTGCACGCCGTGATCAAGCCTTAGTTATCGGATCAGAAACAGAGGCCCTGTTTTGATTCAACGCAATACTAGAATCATTCTGCCTGCTCTCTTTGGTTCAAGTACAGGGAGTCCCCAGGTTAAGAATGCCCGGTTTAAGGACAACCCATAGTTAAGAACGAAGCCTATTGTAGTAAAATTCGAGTAAAATACACAATGGTTTGAGTTCATTACACAATACTACTTATACAGTATTATACAATAATACTGTCCCAGCCTGTATACAAATTCAGCTTAAGGACAGACCTCGGAAACAGAACTCGTTCTTAAACTGGGGACTACCTGTAGTAAATACTCTCCTACGTGCATACTGAAGGGAGGATGTTTATTTTTTTCATAGAAGGATATGAAAAACAGCCCTGGCATATAGCCATGAGCCTCACTTCTGCATATTTCAGTACAAAACACAAGGAAATCTCTCCACTTCTCCATCGTTGTCAGCAAGAAAGAATGTGCCTCAGCAAAATTCATCATCTCATAGAAAATATTAGAGACGTCTGACAGCTGAGGAAAGAAAGCTAATTAGAAAATAGACAGAACTCATGCAGTCCAATTTCTGTCCAATTTTTTAAAGAACCCAAGATGGTTTCAGAAATAAGATGCGATAGTCCTTCAAAATATTAAAGTGTCACTTATAGATCTGAGGTGCAATTTGTAAGCTATGTATCTTGGCTGGCAGAGAAAAAATAGGACAGCATCATTAGTCTCCCCTGTTGAGAAACTCTCATGATGACTGTTTTTCCCCCCTAGCTTCTTTGAGTGGAAAGGGTGAAGATTTGCCTGGTTAAGCTAGATCCTCAGACAGAACAGGGTGGGGAACTGATGGTCCATAGCCCACAGTATATATTTCTCTGGGCCCAATCCCAAATCTGAATCCAGAAAGTGAAATGTCTACTTAGACGGAACAAGAACGTTTTCATCTCTTTTTGAAGTATCTAACAGCAACGGCGCAGCGGCCTTGCATGAAGAAGGCCCAGGGTCCTCTCCAGTGAAATGATTTTGCTGGGAGCTGGACCACCACTTCTGGTCAGAACCAGACATACTAGGCTAGATGAATCAATGGTCAAATTAAGGTGTGGGTTCTCCATCTCTGGAGGTTTTAAGAAGAGGTTCTCCTGTATAGTTTACATGGTATTCCTGCCCATTGCAGAGGATCAGACTGGTCTAGCTCTACATTTTTACGATTCAGTGCTAAGCATCTCTTGCACATCTCATCACCTGCTGCAGCCATTGGCTCCACAAAGACTTTCTTAAAGAGCCAAATTGCCTACGAAGCAGTTAAATTATGCTGTGGCCATGGCTAGAAGGACGACGTGGCCAGAAGCTGGCATTAAAAAAAGGACACACAAAATCACACAGTGTGATATTGAGTAATACAACCTCATTTGCCTTCACATCTTTAACAGAATGTTCAGAAGGAAATTTGTAGGCTGTTGCTACCTAACTTGGTGAATTCCAAGTACATATAAGCCAGCTAACAAGATTTAGATTAAAAAAATACTATGCTCTCTTTTCCAGAAATAGAAGTAACTTTGTTTTGTATACATATACGTACATATATACATGCATATACACACATACATACATGTGTGTGTGCACGTGCCTCTGTGTATGTACACACATATATGAATATATAAGTAGTTGGTATTTACACTGTATTTGGGTGAGCAAGGGACAAAGTATACAACGTATTAACTACATAGCATGCTACATAGCATAGCATCCACCTTCTGGATTTATTTAATGCTCTGTATTAAAAGCCCAGTGACTTGATTTGGACCAAGATCCCACCATTCAAGAAATTTTGGATGATTCATCCCTTGCATCTGTGGTAGGATGCCAGCATTAGGGGTGATGAATTTTCTCAAAGAGGAAACAGGGTTTATGTGGTTGTAGCCATTACAGTAAAAGCATGGTGGGCCAGAGTAGATACATAAATAAGGCCAACTCCATGTTATAATTGGAATTTATTATGTAGTTTGCTGCCAAGAGAACCTCTGTAACTCAAACTGGTATTATCTTGCTACTGTACGATCTCAGGACAAGCCCTGGGTCCTTTAAGAAGCGCTAATCAGTGCAGGATGGTCTCCATGCTGGATCTGAAGCACCGGTGCTCACTTTGGACCCAAAAGCTGCACACTTCTTTTCTTTTTTTTAATGTATATAATTTTTATTAGAGAGGTTCTCAACAGAATAAAAACAGTACAAGTTTTGAGCTGAAAGTAAGAAGAATAAAGAAAAATAAGAAGTGAAGAAGTAAAAAGAAAGAAGTGAAAAGGAAAGAAAAAGAAAAATGGAGAAGAAGAGGCTTCCAATCTTCTTAGCAGCAGTTATAAATGCATTTATATTTTATCCTCTCTCTAAAGTTAAATCATAATTTCCTTCTTTCCATACTCTACCCTAATAATCAAATCCATAAATCACGTTCATTTTTCCAGCAAAAAGTCCACACGGGGTTTCCCGTCACTAGTAAATGTAGTGGTTGATCTTTCTCTGAGCAAGCAAGTGAATTTTGCCATCGCGGCTAGTCCTACCTCCTTCACCACCCATTCCTCCAAAAGCTGCACACTGTTTTAGAGGCACCTATAACTCTTACCGGAATAAGAGGGTCCACCAGTGCAAGAAAAATAACACAAGTTTCTTTATATCCTTTCCCACTACCTTCTTCCCATCTCAAGAATCATACTGACCTGTACCAGGTTTAATTGCAACTGGGTTGACGGCAGGCAATTCCAAATTGGGAACCAGTTCATAGCCTTTTTCTTGCTGCTTTCCTTTCCCTTCGTGGTATCTGCTATATATGCCACGGCCTGCCGAGTAACCCCCCAGGTATGACCCTCTTGGACCGGGCGCTCTGTTGCCTGCCGCACCTCGTCCTCTGCCTCTAACACTGCCTGCTTGTAAATAAAAAATACAGAACAGACAAATTACACACAGAACCGGCAAGAGTGTTCGCTGAAAGGCTATGATGTAACACTAGCAAGGAAAAAGGCATTGCAAGACTCTGAAAACATTTCGCCTGATTTCTGATATGGAGCACGACATCCAGGAATTGGAAAGATTTGGCTTTGTTTGTTTTTAGCATTTTAATACTCAGCCACATTCTCATGTTATTTATTAACTATCCAGGCTGGTTTTTGCAATATTTTCTAATTCCATTGCTCTAGGACCTGATTTTGCAGAATAAACCTCGCAACTAAACCTAATTGGGACATGTTCAGGAGAGAGGACAATCTAGAACAGCGTTTCTCAACCTCAGCGATTTTAAGACGTGTGGATGCTGGCTGGGGAATTCTGGGAGTTGGAGTCCACACATCTTAACGTTGCAGAGGTTGAGAAACACAGATCTAGAAAGTTCAGAGGGAAGGCGAAGTTAGGAGTGGATGAGAGGACATGCTATGCTGAAAAGGAGCCTGATCTATACAAGCAGGTGCTTTGAATCCTCCCATTCCTACAGATACTCCTTAGCTTGATCTTGCTGGGATTGTCGCCACAAGTTCTCCATGGGGGCCACCACCAAAAACAGTTCAGGCATTTCAGCTTGTTCAAAATCCTATAGTTAGGCCACAGTTCAGGTTAGATAGGCAAACATGGAACTCTACTTTGAAAAGGAACACTAGCTGGGCAGCTCCATAATCCACAATGCTAGTTATGGCCTAGATGCCTTGATGCTAGACTTACTGGTTACAGCCCTTGGTGTCTTGCAACCAGGCTATCTGAAGGAGTCCGCCCGAACACTGAAAACTTTGGGAACTGCCTTGAGGGCTTTGGTGGCCCCAAAGAAAGGGTCTTCTCGGAGACAACCCAGATTTAGAAATTGGTTAGCCATTTGTGTGTAGTGTTTCACTGCCAAGGGAGCCAAAGGAATAGAAATAGAGAGGATGTGTGGCCATTTTCCCACTGTTGGGCTGATCTCAGTGCTACCCTCCTCCTGTTATGGAAAGAAAGATTGCACTGTGCCATCAATCGGAGCATTGTTCACTCTTCCCTTTTGCCCCGCTCCTACAGTCTAGGCTGCTTTTCTTAAAGACGCAGAAATAAAAGCAATAACAGACCTATGTAGAGAGAGAAACACATACAAGCTTACAGACACGTTGTAACATCTGATTTACAAACAGCAGCAAAACTCAATCAAAAGTTTCCTGAGAAGCAGCCCTGTTAGTAAGATCATGAGCGCAGAAAAGAAGTAACATTCAGTGTTTTTCTTTTTACTGTTTTCAGACAGAAAACAGGCTTTTAAAAAAAAAAAATTAGTGAAGAACTTTTTTTATAAGATAAAAACAACACAACTTTAAAGAAAAATTAAAGAAAAGTAAAAGTGATAACAGAAATGAAAGAAAAAAGACGAAGAAGAAAAAGAAAAAAAGATATAAAGAAATGGCTTCCAATCTTCTTTACAGCAGTTCTAAACACGTTTATGTTTTATCCTCTCTGAAGTGACATCGGGGCTCCCTTCTTTCCATATTCTACCCTTTCTAATCCTAAACCCATAAATCTCGAGTTCATTTTTTCTGTTTTCAGCAAAAAGTCTGTAAGGGGTAGAAAACAGGCTTTTCCGAGTCACCCTTGGAAGGCAAATCTGAACCAAATTGTGGGTGCGTCAGCAATATTACGGATAAGGGAGGAAAATCTATACTCCATCATCATCGAACTGTCGCACTCACGCTCCTGTATGGGATTCGGGGCTCACATACTATTTTGCACGTTATTTCTCAGCTCGGCTACTTTTATTACTGTTGGGTAGCAAGTGTTCCAGCAAGGGCTGCAATCGAAAAAGGGGCTCCACCTGTTTTGCCTCCTCCCGCCGTCTTTCTGAGCTCAGGAAAGGGGAAAACATTTACAAGCAGGAAATGCATGGCAGGCTTTTTTTTTTGCTCCTCTCTCTCAGTTGTCGTTGTTAAGGAGATGTTGACCCAAAGGACAGTGCAGTTGGGAAGAACCACACCATCTTTATTTTTTAAATCGACGTTCCTGGGCAGCTGTGTTGCAGTTGCTGGATTTCCCCCCCCCCCCAAATCAAAACCCAAACAACTTCAATCTCATCGCCGTTAGAGAGGAAAGGCTGATAATGTGTCCCCTGGACTCTAAGTTGCGAGAGAAAGTTGTGCTGAATTTGCTGGACTGCAATGGAAGCGTCGCAGGAACTTGCATTCCTACACAGGGATCAAGATTTTTGAGGATTTTTGTTTAAAAAAATAAAAGCAGCCTGAACAACAGCGTGTCTCCTCTTTGGCCTGAACCTTCAGTGCTGTAAATCAGGGTTCCTCAACCTTGGCAACTTTAAGATGGGTGGACTTCAACTCTCAGAATTCCCCAG